AACTCCCAGAATGGCTGGCTGGGGAATTCTGGGAATTGAAGGCCACCCATCTTAAAGTTGCTGAGGTTGAGGAACCCTGTTCTATGGGAAGGCTCTTTTTCGTTGTTAAAGGAATTAACAGCCCAATGGAAGCTCCCGTTGGCGCGTTTTCAGCAGCAGTTCTTTAAATCCTGTCTCCCTTCTTTTCAAGAGAAAATTGGTGGAAGTGCTTGCTTCATTTTTATGAGTTTTTATTTTCCATTTATGTGGAACTGGTGTCCATGTTGTTTATTCTTATAACTTTTCTTTGTCTTCTCTCAATATGTTTTCATATCTGGTTGTTTCATAGTATTAACGATATTCTAATTCTGTGTCTCCTTTTTGTTTCTCCTAGAGGAAATACAAGGCTTGAAGAAGCATGTGAAATGTATACAAGAGCTGCCAATATGTTCAAGATAGCCAAAAATTGGAGTGGTATATATAGACATTTCTATCTTCTTTATAAATAAAAAGGACGTATTTATCTGAAGATCACTACCACAGGGGTGGAGGGTACTGTAACCCTTCAGGTATTGCTTGATGTCAGTTCCCACCCTTCAAGATGGGCCATGCTGGTTGGGGCTACTGAGAATTGGGTTACAGTCCCTCAGTCTTCCCGTAGAACATTCAGGTACCGTGGCAAATAACTGAGGTGATTAATTGTCCTGAAATGGCGTTCCTTGATTGCACACATAAGTGATCGCAAACTGGGAATTTAGCTGCTTTGTCTGATATTTCAAGTTGTGATTCACTAACACTGAATTTTAAAACCCATCCATCTCTGCCTACAGTAGATTGACTCTGCTTTTCTTTGATGACCCAGTCCCTTTTTCCCAACATGAAATGGAGTGATTCATGCTTCCTTAGGAATTAGTATGGATATTTTCAACTCTGGTTATACAAATTGAGGAGTGATATTTTCAGCATTATTTCATTTTAAGTAAATGTTTAGGAAAATTGGTTGCATAATTGTTAACTTCATTTAACAGTTCTCTTTTGGGTAGTCTTTATGAACCTGTTATATATTTTTGAGGGTTTGTTATAGTATCATTAACTTGCCCCCCTAACAAGAGAAGTCTCTGTTTCATCTAAATCAGTGGTTCTCAACTGGCACACAAGTGTGCTGTGAGCTTGTTTCTAGTGTGCCGTGAGATTTTTGTCTTATTTTTTTGTATTGTGTATATTCTGTATTATCCATATATTCAATACAGTTTAACTGTTTAACTTCCCTGTGAACCATGCCTTACACATTTAAAAATATGTATTAATAATTTTCTGGCTTGCCACAGAACTACAATATTTCATATTGTGCCACGGATTCAAAAAGGTTCAGAACCCCTGATCTGAATAATGGAGCCTCCATGTAGCCAAACTACATTTACTTCCATCCACTTAGAATCTGGCTGAGAGGAAAAGGCTGGACAGACTTTGCCTCTGATTTCCCTACAACTTGCTTAGAGAAACAGATAATCCCAGGCAAGAGGATTTAAAGCACTGTGCCTGATTTGAGCAGCCACGTCCCTGGGGCAGGTAGAGAAAAAATGGAAAGTAGTGTAAGAAAATAGTTTCTTTGTTAAGGGAATTAGCAGCCCAATGGAGGCTCCCGTTGGTGGGTTTTCAGCAGCAGTTCTTTAAATCCTGTCTCCCTTCTTTTCAAGAAGTGCTTGTCGCTGATTCAAATGGCTCCTTATAACTGGATGTCAGAATGCCGCCCCTGTTTCTTTTTCAGCTGCTGGGAATGCCTTTTGTCAGGCAGCAAAACTCCACATGCAGTTGCAGAGTAAGCATGATTCAGCTACCTGTTTTGTTGATGCAGGGAATGCTTACAAAAAGGCAGATCCTCAAGGTAAGGTGCATTGGGGTAGGGTGGCCTTCCCTTGGCATTTCTTCTTGGCAAGCAAGATAGATAGGAGCATCACTGATTACAGGGGTGTGTTAAAAGAGATAAGGCATCAGACAAAAACAACAAGTGCTTTTTTGTTCAGATCAACATGAATAATTCCTGAAAGCATCTAGGGAACTTTGAAATCTGTGGAGTATTAATACTAATTCACACAGCTATTATATGCAGTTGGTCATTGGCCATGATGGGATAACAATGTGAGTGTACGTATATGCATAATGCAATATATGCCCTCCCAATTTTCTTTCATCTTGAGTATGATTAAGAAAAATAATGTGTGATTTTTTTCCCATAAACTAAATCTTTTTGAACAAGGTATGTCTAAATATGTTGCTGATCACTAACTTTGTCCTGTCAGCTCCTGAGAATTTAAAGGTTAATTATAGGATTAAAAAGATCATTATAGGAAAATCAGGAGGTACAATAGTCGGAGATTAATGAGAGACATAATTTTAGTGTATATTTCATATATATAAACATTAATTTGGACATGAAATTAAGTTATTGTACATACTTCAGCAGAATAGTATACCTGGGCTTTTGGCCAGCCCAACATTGCCAGATGTGTTGAACTACAGTTCCCATGATGATCAAGACTAGCAACTGGGCACAGTGCCTTGGAATTTCAAGAGCTGTAGTTGTAAAACATCAGGAGGGCAACAGATTGGACAAAGCTGATTAATGTACAAGACTCCTATATATATTAAACCTCTAATCTCAACTGGATTTACACATGAAGGTTACTTTTCACAGCATCTGTTTTCTCCTTGTTCTGAATATAGAATGGGGCATACTCACATGCTTGGTATATAATGAATGAAAATAATAGTAATAACATCAACAACAATAATAAGACTTGGTGCCATACGAAAAGATCTGGAAAAGTACTTGGACACAATAGGAAGAGATAAAATCTCAACTAATGAATTATAATTCTAGTTCATGCTAAACATTCTACATATGATCCAAGAAGATTCATGCACACATCTCTTCAATTTAAAGATGTGACTTTTTAATGCAGAAATTCTGATGGAAAGTCCCAAGTGCTGGAAGACAGATGTCAAATTCCTGCGTGTGTCCCTAGTCATGGGATGGACATCTCAGGCCCCTTTGAGTTTACAAAGCAGTCCTTTCCAAAGGACTGTACAGAGAAGCTCTTGAAATTAGGAATCTGTCTCTATGCCAGAGCATCAATTCCTTAAAGCCGTGTTTCTCAACCTTGGCAACTTTAAGATGTGTGGATTTCAATTCCCAGGATTCCCCAGCCAGCCAATCTTAAAGTTGCCAAGGTTGAGAAACCCTGCCATTCCTGGAAAGGAGCAGTAGCAAGAGTAGAGCAGAGATGGGCCAAAGGTAGGTCAGGATCTGCCGATAGATGTCTCTAGGATTTGCAGTGAATGGGGTGCCAAAGGTTTCCCGCTCACAATTTGTTTCAATAAGAGCAGCAACAACCTGTTTTGTCCTTCTGTTGCCCCAAACTAAGCTCCTGAAATAAAGAGAGCTAGGGATAATTGGAGTGGTTTTTGTGTAGAAAAACTATGGCATTTATTCCTCCTCAGCACTTAAAACAGGGTTTTGAATTCAGAACTCTTTAACTCTGGGTGTATGTTTTTTGCATCAAGGTTCACTTGGTGGACTTCAGGACTTTATTATGTATGAATGAATTAATGAATGAATATCCGATAGACCTGAAGTCTGCATTGCCGGCAGTAAAAGATGAAGAGGTTCTGTCTTCAGCTGACCTTGCATAGAAGAATAGCTGAGAATCTGTCTGTTGCATGTGCTGATATAACCCATCCACTTCCTTGCGCTGGTAAAATAACTACGTTTGGATGTCTGAGCTGATTGTATTCATTGTTTCCCTCCAAATGCATACGATGCAGAGGCTATCAACTGCTTAAATGCTGCCATCGATATTTACACAGACATGGTAAGACACCCAAAGTGCTAGGTTGGGATTCCGGTTTATGATCTTTCCTGTTGGTGTTAAGTCATTAACTCAAGTTGTATTCAGTTTGTATTCAGCATTTACCTCCGTTCAAAAAGAGAGTAAGTACACAGGCCAAATTCTTCTCTTCCCAGGGCCGATTTACTATTGCTGCCAAGCATCACATTACTATTGCAGAGATTTATGAATCTGAGCTGGTAGACATTGAAAAGGTAAGCCAATGTGCTTATTTGGAAAGATTTCGGTTTCATTCCTAGGCATACATGGCTGATTGAATTTGGAAGAATTGAGGAAGCCCATAAGTTTCTATTTCACAGCTACTGCCCAAGTTTGTTCAGTTTTCTTCTGCTAAATGAGAGGCCCTGGTGATCACAGAAAGTCTTCCGTGAAGGGAATGTCACTTTTGGGTTTAACTCATCAATTCTCTCAGTGTATGGATTTATAGTAAAATAGCATATGAGAGAAAAAATTTCATACGTGTATATGTGAAACGTTTCCCTTCTGTTATGAGAAGCAGTATCCCAATCGTGCATTTGGCGTCTATAAACTTAGATGATGTCCCCATTAGCAACTTAAAGGTCTTCTAGAGTCAAAATAGCAGTGATGTGGACAGGCTTTATATCATTCCAGTGATGACTGGGTGATACGATGAAGTTGCTTTAAGTCACTACAGTAGCAGGGAAATGGCTTGAATCTGTGAAATCTATTACCAGAATACCAGTTTTGAAAGTATAATGTTGAGTATGAATGTGTTGAATTCCTTTTAGGCTATTGCCCATTATGAACAAGCTGCAGACTATTACAAAGGAGAAGAATCTAACAGGCAAGTTTTCATAAAAGGCGTTCTTAATGTTGACAATCTAAATTTATTTATTTATTTAAAAGGTTTATATAGCCGCCCATCTTAAGTAACTCTCGGCAGCTCACAACAACAAATCTATATTCATTCTATTTTCTTTTTTCTTTTGCTACTGTAACATGAAATTCTATTATTCTCTTACTTAGGATTCAGGAGAACCTCCAGATCCTAAAACAACTTTCTTGGTTTGGCATTTTATTTGCCTGACAGTTGTGATAAAATTCAAAGCTCAGAAATTCTGTTCACGTGGTAATTGAAAATTGGCTAGTGGGAATGGATGTATCAGAAGATGGTTCTGTATGAATGTCAACAAAATGAATCAGATCTCAAGTAATTTAGATCCTTTTAGTGAGAGTGCCACCTGACAGTGGTACATTTTGATTTTCTTACATGTATTTCTGTGCTCTTCAGTTAATTGTGCCTTTTGCTTCTAGCTCTGCTAACAAGTGTCTGCTGAAGGTAGCCGGTTATGCTGCTCAGCTGGAGCAATATCAGAAAGCAACTGAGATTTTTGAACAGGTGGGTACATGACCTTTTGGTTTGTTAAAGGAAAACTATAAATCAGAGGTCCAAATTAATCAAAGCACTAACCTTGTGCAATCTGCTGAGTGAGGCAATTGGGCTGAATTTGTTTGAATCCAAACCATCAGAGAAGTTTCAGTTTACAACATATATAATTTTAAGGTATGGGTGGAAAAAAGCACCTGTTTTAGGTACATGTGCATAATAATTCAGGAAGAAGATTTCTAGCATTAACAGTTTAAGCAAGGTTAATTGCTTTCAGTAATCAGAGCCAAAGAGGAAAAGGGGTTGTGCAGGAAAGTAAATCCTGGGAGTTACCACCATGTAGTATTGCCAATATTTATAATCTTCTGAAATTATTTTAAAATCTCAAAATCCAGTTATCCTTACCAACTGCTTTAATATCTAGTTTCTAAACTATCAGTATGAATGTAAGAGGGAAGTTTGATGAGGAGATAAGAATGTCTGGCTAAGATCTAGTGCTTGAAGATTGATTTTGATTTGCCAAGCAGCAATGTGTGTGAGATTCAATATGTGTAAATCCCAGCTGTGGCAAAATGTGTTATGAAATTAAAAAGGTATTTACAATACCAGGTATTACTGAGAACGTTAAGGAACAATGTGACATTTGGGAACTTTGGGAAATGGGTCCTTTTGTAGTGGAAAAACATGCAGTTCAAATACAAGGGCAGGGATTCTCAAGGAACTGACTGAAATATTGTTTTCAACCGTGTTCTGCTTTTCCACACTTTATCAACTATAAATGTAATTTTTATCTCTCTAGATTGGTACAAGTACAATGGATAATCCGTTGCTCAAGCACAGTGCAAAGGATTACTTCTTTAAAGCAGCTTTATGTCACTTTATAGTTGATGAGTTGAACGCAAAGGTTAGTGCAGTCCTTTTTGTGCCATCATTATACAGATCAGAATTCCATGGTGTCCCAGGAATAAACAAAATATTTTTATTAGTTCTATATGATCAATAATGCCTGCTCTTATTGCATGAAATATCACAGTAGAAGTTCTGCTTTCAAATCTAAATGCTCTTTCTGTGCTTGCTTATGTAAACATAGGAATACAACAAGAACGATGAGACGATTGCTTTGTACACTTGCCATACAACTTAGCTGACAGATTTATGGGTCTGTTAGAAGCAGTGTTGTCATTTGCAAATATGAAGCCATAGTTTTGAATTCAGTATAAAACAGATTGATTCAAAAATAATGCTCCATGTTTTCACCATTCCAGGCTGACAGTAGATATTGGAATTGCCAGCAAGGCCATATTTGCTGGAAACAACTGAATATGCTGGAAAGCCCATATTTGACAATTGCAGATGTTTGTGTCTATCACTATTACTTCAAGTCTGATACGAATGTGCAATACAAATATTCACACGGTGTTGCATTTTGCAAGAATTGCAGCTCATGGCAGGTTGAGAATTAATTTATATGCTATGCAGGGAATGCATGAGGAGATCCCCACCTAAACTGTAGATAGGGACCTCCTAGTATTTTCCCTGAGCAGAAAAAAAGCAGCCAAATCAAGGGTGATTTTGAGTGGACTAACTGTGGGATGGGAAAGGCTTAGGTAGTCTCTCTGCAGAGTAAGGAAGATGGCCTTGACAGAGATATGCAAACTTTGTTACCAAAGCAATGAGGAATGAAACATATCTTAAGCCCACAACAGACATATAGTATTTAGAAGCAGCTCAGATGGACACCTCCCTAATTCACTGAAGTATAAGAAGGAGGAGGAGGTTCAGCACAATCAGATCTGCAAGATTCTGTTATTACAGCCACTTTCAATAAAAATAGCTTTAGCCTTCCTGTGGAGTTGATCTTCTGGTCTGGTCTCCCTAGTGGGGCTGATCCTCTCTTCCCTGTTATTCCTCAGGTGAAGAACGTCTCATGCAGTTCCATTTCAGGAAAACAAATTGGGAGGCTTTCATCTCTTATATGTGGTTTGGTGTAACCCTAAAATATCCCAGTTTGTCACTTTATAGAAAGATGCATATGTGTGGTCACTCAGATTCATCTCTTGAGTTTGTTTTGAGCATAAAGTGTGTATGTCATGGTGTTGAATGGCTGGTTTTCTGAGAAAACGTCTATCATGAGATAACATCTGTTCGATATGAATTAAATGCCGCTGCTATTTTTCAGCTGGCTCTTGAGAAATATGAAGAAATGTTCCCAGCATTCACAGATTCAAGAGAATGTAAATTATTGAAAGTAAGTGAGACAGCATGTTTTCCATTGCACTGAAAACAGAATTGATGTCTGATTGCTGGTCTTAATTAGAAGTATTTTATTTATTAAATGGTGATGGAGGGTTAGGGTCACACTGTGAAAAGAGAGGAAGAATGACCATCCCAATTTGCACGTTAAAAAGTAACAACTTCTTTCTTGGTTTGATTTGAACATTAGCTATGTGAAATATGTTTTTAGCCTATTTTCCAATCCTTGCAAGTCGGGAGGCAGAACATTTCTCATTATTCCACTGGGACTCTTAAAATGGATGGAGCCATTCACTCAAGTTCTCATAAAAAGTAAAGAAGTTGATTATTTTCAATGTTCTTCTTTTGGAACATGATTAGAAAGATTCACAAGACTCTTTAACTCCTCTAACAAATTTCCCTTCCTACTAATCCACATGGAAATAAATGACAGAGACACTACAAGTCACCATGAAAAGCTGAGCAGGATGGTGAAGGAGCTGGAGGGGCAGGTGGTGTTTCCTTCACTCCTTCCTGTCAAAGAAAGCAGACTGTGAGTGAACTGGGTACTCAGGTAGTGCCAGTGACAATGGTTTGGATTCATTGGACTGCATTTCTAAAATGGGGAAGTTCCGGCTAGAGATGGGCTGCAGTTTACAAACACTGGGAAGAATGTGTTTGGAAAATACCTAGCCCTCCTGATCTGCAAGTCTTTAAACTGAATCCTGAGAGGGAGGGAAAAGAGAACCCAAAATGTAGCGTGATGCAAGTACGGAATATGGAACTGGAAAGAGTGATGAGGATGGGGAAGCAATTAATAATGAGCGCATAAAACCAGGAAGGAACAGGTCAAGTCATGTGACCGAGGATTCCAATGGCTCTATAAATGCACAACATATGGGAAACAGGAAGAACTAAAAATTGTAATGCAGGAAGGCAAATATAATTTAGTAGGCATTACTAAACCTGGTGGACAAAACTCATAAATGAAATGCAGGGACTGAAGGATAAAACTAAAGGAATAGGCCACACAGAAGGGAAGGAGGAGTGGTGCGATATGTGAATACAGTGCCCACATATATTGAGATCCAGGAATTTGAGCATGAGGGTCTAGTCAAGAGCATTTGTGTAAGAATACAAGAGAGAGGAAACATCAAAGATGTTAACAGAGTTGGGGGACAGGGTATTACTAACTGTCAAGCCATGCAGATCTGCATAATGCCTTCCTGGACTAGTTTACAGATATTTAAGAGAGGAGAGACATCATAATTATGGGAATCCTCAAATACCTGGGCGTTTGTGGGAAAACCAACTTGGCTGAGACAGCAAGATGCCAAAAATGCCTCAGTGATTTTGCTGTCTGATTCATTTTCCAGAAGTTGGAAGAAGACCCATGAGGATCAGCTCTCCTATATCTGATCCTAAACAATAGGGATGAGCTGGTTGAAGAGATAACAGCAGTAGGCACCTTGGGAGGAAGTGACCATGTCCTCTTGCTGAGCGTACTACAGAAAGAGAAATTGGAACATAATTGAACATGCATACTAGAGATTTCAGGAGATCCAATTTCAGCAAGCTTAAAGAAGTACAGTGGTACCTCGGGTCACGAACGCTTCTGTTCACGAACAATTCGGTTCATGAACAGCACCGTTCGCAAAATTTTGCTTCCGTTCGCGAACTCCGCAGCAGGGGACGAACAGGAGCCGCAGCCTTTTCCCCTGCCGTGACACTTGGTCATGGCTTCCTGTAGGGAGGGGGGCTCTCCCCCCAAGCAAAAAACGCCTCCCCACCCAACTTCCCGTCCTCCCTGCCCGAAGACGCCTCCACAC